GTGAACATTCTCTAGGGCACGGACAATAAAACAACACTGCAGTGGATGTTGATTTGTACTGGCTCTCTTACAGTTGTTAATTTGTATATTTGGAGTACCGCAGGCACAATAATAATCACAATAATAATAATAATAATACACAATACACAATAATACAATGCAACACTTCTGGATGATAGCATCACGGTGGAGATCAGGCCACATCATTAACTGTATGAAAAATTTACGGTCCCGGGGCCAGATTTTTGGTAAACCGGTATAATGACGCTAGTAATATGATCCAGACTGTTGCTTTCTTTGTGAAAACCAGAACTACATACAAAAGTTTAGAAACTTCAACTTCTGCAGCCTCAAAGTAACGACGGCACTGAAGACAGAAAGACTGAGACTCTTTTCCTCCCCAAAAATTGTTCATTCATAAATGAACACCGCATCACAGATACACAGAAAATCTCCTATTTAACAACAACTGCAAAGCAATGCAGATAAGCTATATAATATACATGGTACATAAAATACAGGTTTATACATCAGAGTGTGCCAACAATGGCTAAATTCTTCCGTAACCGGATTTAATGAGACAGGGCATTATTACAGAAATATGACGAAGCCTTAACCTGTCTAAATGCTCCAGAAGAAGAGGCAAAGGGTCAGTGCAATACAACCTGACAAGTGGATATCGCAGAGATAGGGGCTTATAAACATGAATAATTATGTCTGTGAGAGTAAGTGTATAAAAAAATAAAAAGCTTACACGCTGTTGCCCTCTAATCAGATCATGAAAAATAGCATCATCTTCCGCGTTAAAAAAATGTGCTGTATTCAATATACTACCTCTGAGGTTGCTTCTCTTTCACAGGCGCCGGGTTCATGGTGTTTATTAGAAGTTTTCGACACTGACCACTACCAACGACGCCCTTTACCAGTTTTTTACAACATTCCGAAGTGTTGCAGAACGATTCATTGGACTGAAACGAAGACGCGAATGTCAAAAAATGATTACATAGGTGGTCGACTGCTCGTTTCTTACTACGGTATTTGCATAAATGCAGCATTCGGCGATGTGTAGCCACACCAAGGGGTCGTTCGGAAACACCCTGGCCACTTGACCGAGGTGTTGCAGTGCTACTTCGTACATTCCTGCCCTCAGCAGAGAGACGGCCAGATTATAAGTAATTTGCATACCATTGAACAGCCTTCGACGAGAGAGCTCTTAAAATCACCACTATGAAAGATACCACTGCGAATTAAAACAATATAATTAAATTCACCCAATTACTACGCCCGACTAGTATAAACTTGTACTAAAGTATTCCTTTTTTTCCAGCACACGTTATGCTGAAGAACAGAAAGCTTTCCCACCCCAAAATAGCGTAATTCTTTTGTAATTACTATGCCCCAGTGAATGGAAGGTTGATGTGGAAGACGAAATCTGAACTGATATGTTAAAGGCAACCACGGAAATGGTATGTTCTGGAAAACTCGTATGTGTCCGGTTGCTTGAACTCTGAAGTAGCACGCTGATATGACTTTAGTCATCATAAAACAATCATGTTGTAGCTCTGAGAATTCCATGTACCTCTTTTCCGTAGCTATACCGCCTCTAAAACTTCACCTATCGCCCGCAAATTGGCCTAACCCCCGTAGATGCATCGACAATCCACTGCTCCTCCTATACGTTGTAGTTCCACAGGATATTATCAGGCTGATTAACAATGATTTCTTTATCCTCCTTTGAAATTTAAGCGAGGAAAATACACTTCTAGCATTATGTCTGGGTATCCATAGAGTTTGTCGTCATTGTGCAATTTATGCTTGAATTTACAGAGGGTGCAAAGTAGTTCCTTCGCCAAGCGGGGGAGAAATCTCTGCAGAAAAGATGGCTATGTCAGAGCTCACTCAGGAAAACTTCAAGCCAAGCTTCATGGAGCCACAACCTAAACGGGGTAAACAGCAAACTATTGTTTCATCCAAAAAGAGCAAATATCCACTAAACTCCATTACTAGCGGTGAGAAGTTAACGTTCTCAGTGGGGAAAACACTTTTCGACCAACAAATCCGCTGTCACAACACTAATGCACATGAGCGGTGATCATAAGGTTCAATCAGTCTGCAGGTTTTTCAGCGATGTGAAAGATAATTACGATAAACAACAACAGCCCAACTCAGTGGCGAGTTCCTGCATTCAATGAACTGAATGTGATCAGATACCACGGATACATGTGACCTGATTAAATTGTCCCCCTAGGCATCTAGAAACAAGGAGACGGTGCTCTGATGCCTTGTAGATTTGGCATCAGTAACTGCAATGCTCAGCAAAAGAAATTTTATTTCTATTGCCTACTTGTGGATGAACTTGCAGCAGTCGAAGGCGCACAGCTGAAACCAAGGGACCGCTGAAAGTAGGTCGCTGCCAAATTGGGTTTGTTCATAGCAGAATAAAAGCAGCCTAATGTGTTGCTGGTAATGCAGTCGAAATCGTTCAGTCCGTGGCTCGCTCTGCAGTGTTTCAGCTCTTCAGACATGCTGACTATCGTCGTACATGCAGACTTGATCTCATTCGCCTTGTACTGCTGCAAGGCATTCAGATAGCTGCACATCCAAATCTAAATTCGTAACTTTTATCCACCACTGAAAAAGACATACACACAAACACTTCGAAAAAGACAACACAAAATACAAGTGACCGTATCAGCCATGTCAGTCACCGACCCCAAAAACACTGTACATGAGGCAATTGATCAGTTAATTTAAAATACCGTGGTTGTTTTGTGTAAATATGTATACGCCTTCAGATAACTGCATTTTAGCAGCTGTCAGAAAAAGCGGCGGTTCGGTCCAATGCAGTGATGCAGTGATGTGATTATATATAATACCATCGAACCGTGGCTTAATTACAAGCTCTCCAGGGATACTAGAAGCAAACGGACTAGTGCTAGTTCTTGTTGTTCTTACCAGAGATACAGTAAACCAGTATTTTTTTAGTAAACACAACACCGCGCTTACGCAAAATCTATTTCAGTTTGTGAAAAATAAAATTTTTAGTATGTAGTATTTCGACGTATACGTGATTAGCATTGATATTTGAGGTTGCATCAAAGAAGCATGAACTTGTGAAACGTGGTTCGTAATGAGCGCGAAATGTCCCCGGCAAACAAAATGATAATGCAAATGCTTAAATATAATTGAATCATGGCCCGCCTAAATGCCCCCCCCCGGATATCTAAGACCAAGGGCGGTGCAACACGCTATGAAATCTGACCTGGGCTGAGATAGGCGTTATTTAACTAACTTGTATATTGCATTAGCATCCTCAACTTCATGTTATGCATGTATTTTTAGCATGAATACAAAAAGCAAGTTGGCGCAAGTAGTCAAGCTTGTAGAAGTTAAATGAATTTCAGGTACTCTGAATGTTTATACTTCAGACTTTCCAAATCCGGCATGATAAAGTTAAGTAAAAATCAAATAATATGGACCTGTTATTTCCAAAAAATCGTCAATTAACTCATAAACTGACGAGTGACGACAGGTTGAAATGTTAGATGCAATACTTCAACTGCGTAAGTGGTCAACTCGTTGTTCACGCAGTCACTGGATTCTCTCCATGGTGTCGTTTGAGTCTTGTGATGAAATTGTTCCCACTACTCAGTAGTTCGTGCTAAATGCGGGGAGGGAGACATTTCTCGAAAAAAATCATCAAATGTTTCAGGAACATCAGCAACTGAAACACAAGTCAACGCTAAAAGGATTCTGATATATTCTGCATGTTTCCTCACCCGCTAAGCTTCGGTATAATTAAGCTTCGTAACTTTGCTCCAAGGACATTTACCTCAATGGGAGAAGCACTCGTTATTAATCTTGTCCCGGGAATATTTCAAAAAATTGAACAATTGACACTGTCGAAGTCTAGCCTTGCCATAATTTGCCTAAAATCTAAGTAGTTCCAAAACGTTCATCAGTACTCTTACGTAGACATGGTCTGATTCGCCTGACGGCAAGGATTAGACTACAGGGGGGAGTGGTTAGTCAAAGCGTTGGACGTTGAAGACCGAGCGATCAGTCGGGGTGGCAGTACTTGCAATAGCAAAAGTTTGAATGAAACGTCGGTGAACCATTGATCGCTATGTTGCAAATGACCGTTGCTTTCGTGTTTGTAATTTTTGGCTGTTGTCACAGTGCCCTCAGAAAGTTTACGCATTTGAGCAAACGCTTCAAGACTTACCTCCCGTGTGGGGCAGGAATTCAACAGCTTTAAATCTCTTCGGAACGATTTTAAATCAAATGTATGAAAATGAAGGCGGCATTTCAACTATAAAATAGCAAAATATGGCAACTTTCCTCCTAGTAACAAAAATTTAAGAAATTTAATAAAGTACCACAGCAAGATGAGTCACATATGTTTCGAAAACAGAGGAAGGCAATTCGTCCTTTGACTCCTTAGCTTTGGAGATCAGTTGCTCAGCGTGAGACAAGTAATTGTCTGCGGATCGCGTCTGAAACAAAACAACCCTGAGGACAAACTGCATCTAAGAATTCACGTATATTTTGAAATTTGTAAGATTAAAAAGAAGCATTCCATATGTCATCACATTTTGTAGTAAACCCTAAACCCCATTTTATTAGATATTCTTTGACTTGCACTGAAACTTTTGGGTAAAATGGAATAGCAGTTATGAGTAAGTTTCCTGATGGTTAGCATAAGCTAAAGCTTAATGGTATTTTTAAACAAATTTCTTCCAAGCAACCCAGTGGAAGCGCTTAATATAATCCATAATATAAAATGGGGTGACTGAGAGAAAATATATATAGGTAAGACCTGTAGAACACTTAAATCAGAGGGAACGAACGTCTATCCGGAATTTACAGCAACTGGCATGCATAATACTCCAGTTTCCTTGCACGCCACAGTGAAGCGAGTCTTTCAATAACCGATAGGAACAATGCCAGGTTGGGGCTATTAATCAAAGAGTACCTTCATACTCTGGCACAGAAAAATGTTAAATGAATACTTTTCCTTCTTTCATATAAGTCAAAGCTGGGATGCAGGTCATAGTCTGTCACGACAAATGTCATTTCGGGACTGAGTGACACACAACTGCTACTCAATATTATTATTTTTTCACCGCGACAGAGTTAATTTAAATTTTTCACTTATTCACTCTTGATGAGTTGGCAAGGAAATGCGTCGCCTGTCAGTAAAACTTTTCGTCTGTTTTAGGCTTGAGCCATGCATCCTGAGAGCAATCCGCTGATTACTTATAGGCCCAAAATCAAAAACAAAAAATTCTAGCATGACGTTAATTTCCTCTATTTATCAGCGCGTTTCGATGCACACGCAATTTTCACCAGCAGGATTATACGCTTGATGAATACTGTTGCAGTGCCTTATACTTACTGCACATGTTATTGCCTTATAAGCAGTACGCAAATTATAATGTCTGGTGAGTTTTACAGGGAGCGGCCTCTGACACTTGACGACTTCCACCTGCGACGCAGCTCCAAAACCTGCTCTCTACTTGAATGTCTAAAACTCTAAGATTATGATGAACCGGCCCATCACAGTTGATCTACAAGTAGAAGAAGAAACTCACCAATTTAAAATTGTTGTATCTCAGCTTCATCATCACCACTGATGGCAACATCCTATCAGAGTTAAATATGAAATTCGCCCAAGCCTTGAATGCTTTAGAAAACCTTAAAATACTTGGCCTGAAAAAAGAATGCCTTTTCCCACAAAAATCAGCATGCACCTTGCCTCTGACAAGTTAGCGTTGTTGTACGCATGAAAACAGTTTCTGTAACGAAGGAACAGGGACGACAGTTGAACCAGAATAGGACGTTCTGGCTCAGTCACTGGGCACAGTCGTTTTAGTGCATACAGCTAGTTGCTGTCAGCGCTTGATCCTGCAGTCGCATAATTAAATCTGCCTAACTGGACAATGATCAGCTGCATCATTTGCGTGATTCACCCATCATGTTATACATAAATGGATAACTCTCTGTGAGTGAAGTATGACGTCGTCGTCAAACTAATGAATTTCTCATTAGAATTCCATTATGAGCGACTGTGCGATGTCAGAACGTCAGAGGAAGTCTCTTGTCGCGAGTTGGAATTTATGTCATTGGCAGATGGTCATCTGTATCAAGTGATTTGACTTCGACTTTCATATTGTCTATCAGTTGGACAGCTCTCTGTGAGTACAATGCGATGCCGTTGTCAAACGTGAATATCGATTATTTTAATTTTATTTTATTATTCCACCGTAGTCGTTAAGTCAGCGCATAGTCACTTAACGGGAGTCAGAGTTTATCTAGGACCATGATCCATGATTATATAAATTCCGACATCCGAACAAGTGACCGCGTCTTGATTTGCGACCATGCGAGTTACTGTGAAAGAATCGTATAACAAAAAGAAAATAATCGAAATTTAGCCTGACAAAGGCGTCGTACTTCCGTAACAGAGAACTAACTACTGATATATGGGCCGTTGCACGCAGTTGATGTAGCTGACCACTGCCCAGGTATACAGATTCAACGCGGCGACCGTAGGGTCGAACACCAACCAGCGGTCTGCGCCAAATCGGCTGGGACAAAACGTCACAGACTGTCGTCGAATTGTGCAAAAAAGCGTCGACCCATAATGAGGGTTAAAAAGCAGAACCTCGTAAGAAAAGAATCTTTCTTCTATCTGACACAGGTGACCTCAATAGGTGCAGAGTCTAAGAAAAAATCCACCCTGTTAAACCAACTGGTTGAACATAAAAGATTTACTCCAAGATATGAGCTTCTCGTGTGGACGGACAGATGTCGTCCAGGATGCCAGCATGAAGGAATACGGTAGAGGCAGATCTGCTTCTGTAAGCTCATATTCCTTTGTACAATACAGTAACCTGTGCCTTAGAGCAAACGTATTGAAAAACTGCGGTTATAGGTGATCTCACAAAAAAGAGACGTTCTGCTTATGGAAATTACTCAAACTGATTATCTCAACCAATACACCTACACACATTACTGTCTTTAGGTATCTAGAAACCCAGTCACAATACTGCCATATTACACAGTAAAAAAGATGCAGCGATGAGGTCTCATACCCGCAAAAGAAACAAGCAGACAGTCGCTCCGAGCAAAGCAGCATTCAGCATCACCACAATGTTGCCTAAAAATTATTCATTACAACCAATTCACAAAAATTCAAGCTTTATTGTTTACTTACCATCCGTTTGTTCGTTTACAAAACGTTCCAAAATCGAAAGAGACTGTTCGAAGCGGCCAAGGGAGAAATTTGCGAAAGCAAGATTAACCGCCATCGCGCTCTGGTCACCGTCAACAACAATGATTCGGTTCGCCTGAAAAATAGCAACAAGTGTACAGCTAAAGAAAAAGACGTGAATTCGGCCCCTGCATAAAATAATATGTCAGGTTCAGATTTTTGGTCCAGATTTAAGACCAGTATACTACCAAAATATATAACCGTCGATGACAACTTTTCTTATTTATGACTTTCTAAAACGTTGAGGTGACAGCATCATGAAAGAAAATGTTTAATCTTGGTAGATACAGTATTTATGACCCTTCAAGACTTAAGGAGTTAGTCACGTATGACGTATGCAATGTTAGTCGAGAGGAAAACGAATAGTTGACAAAAGTGTACCTAAGAAATAGACAGAAACGTTGTAAATATTATAAGAAAGTTTCTACTGTCTTGTTAAAATAAAAGCTTTGGGTTACTCGAGTAACATGTGACTATAAAAACGACTTGGTAGGTCTCATTCTTACTAATCGCCTGACGTGTTTATCCACAAGTATCATCCTCTATAAAGGGCAAATGACATGAAGAGAAAATTCTGTATGGAATATCTTAGGACTGGTGCGGAAAAACACCCCTTAATCCTTTTGTCTAGAAGTGTAATCCGGGGTATAACAAACAATTAGCCTTAACGGCATATGAAATTACGGATTCATTATCCGCCAAATGTTTCGTGATTCAATATAATCCTACTGATGACAGAGATATCCTCGTAAATAATTGCCACTGTAAACGGTAACATATATACTAGTAGCACTGCAATAATACTAGCAGTGTAATAACAGTCTGTGTCAGCACTCGAAGTGTAATAGTGGAGAAGTAACAATGGCAGCAGCGGTACTTGAGCAGCCATAAAATATTCGATGTGCTGCAATGACCCAATCGTATTTTGCTACTCCGGCGTGTTGGTACAGTGCCTAAGAGGTCTCCTTCGAGTGCTGCAGGTGTGAGGTTCCAATTCTGCTCGAGGACTATTTTGTCTCATTTACGAATTTCTTTGAAGAAGGAATTCACCACACCCATTTCACACCGGAGTAACTCAACTGGTAAAGAGTAGAACTCAGAACCGATAGGTTGTGAGTTTAAGCCCCAGTATGGGTTCTTCTTTCGATGTTGATAAATGAGTAGCAAAAACTGGGAAAGAAACAGGAGACCACATGGCTGTACACTCTGCCCTTAAAAAAATAATGCACTCCCGGCTGGTAGCATCATTAACCACATGGAAAGAAGGGGTCGTCGGAAGGACCTAATCTTGAAAGTGAAGGAAGAAGACGGACAATTCCCACGGTGAAAAACTATCCCTTCCTTTCTTTCAGGTCACTCCAGAATCCTAAGAATGTCTTCTTCATCCTCTAGTTCATTTTCGACAGCCTCATGATTTTTAGTAGAGCTTACGACGTTCTGAACAGATACAATCATTAAAACAATTACAAGCATGTCTTCATCTGTGTCAATCTTAGCCTTTTGTTTCCAAAACTTAGGAAATCCATCTTTTACGTTCCCTTCGACCATTGAAAAAGTATCCTCCGTCAGGCTACTGGTTCGCCGAGCTTCTGAGATGGGAAAGAAAAAGATTTTCAAATACAAATGCTTTTTTTAAACATACTACCAGTTTTTAACCGCATACTTTTCCCTCTTAAGTAACGATTACGAACCGGTAAATTGTCTACAAACATTAGCAATGAAATGTAGCGGAAAGAAATACTTCACTGAGCAAAATAAAATGAACTTGGATAAACATCCTCTCCCTTTAATCTTACAAACCTTACAGTTTTGTAGCCAGAAACGACAAAGACCAGTGTACGGAGAAGGGAAAAAATGAAACGAAAGGAAAGTTTGTAACTGTTGGAAAGTCTTCTTCGTTGCGCTGTCATTACAGGGCATTTTGGCACTTTCTTTTCAAAAAGTTAAGTGGGGCGCTGATTTCCAAATTCATGCCATTAACCAGGAGGACATTATTTCAAAGAGAGGGAATACAGCGGTTATGTGGCAAGCACAGTGTGATGTTTTTCCTTTCCATAGAGTGGTAATCATTCTATCAACCTCAAAGGAAGAAAGGCGAGTGACCCTGCCGAGGTTCGAACTCGAAAGCTCTCGGTTCTAAATACGACAACGCTCCACCGACTGAACAATACCGGTGTGATCTGCGATAGAGAGCGATAGAAATCTTAGTCCTTTATAGCGCATCAACCATAATGAATCATTTCCTGGATTTCAACGGCTGTAATTCACCTTTTAACTGATGATACGAGTTATCTACCTACCAATGAAGTTCTCTTACTTGAGCGACTATTGAAATTATAACTACACTTAACGCAAAATTGATTAATATAAATGAGGAAAGAAAAAGAACGTTCGTCACCATTGGAATGTCGACCTTCCTTCACTTTCATGACTGGACTGCTTTGGGGCTCTTCTTTTTGGTGCGTGTTGATCTCCAATTCTACGCCATCAGCCACGTGACAAGTGTAACGCATATTATCCTGTTGCGTCCCCACAGTGATACTCATTTATCAACCTCGGAAGGAAGAAGGGCGAGTGACCCTGACCAAAGCTTGAACTCGGGACCTATCGGGTCTGAGTTCTACGCTCAACCGACTGAGCAACTCGGGTCTGGAGCAGTTGGTGGTAGATTTTTTGCTCAAGTTAATTCGTGAATAAAACAAAGACTGTTCGCGAGCGGAATCGAACCCGGCACCTCTGGAGTTCGAAGAAGGCCTCTTAGATAGTACGCCAACACACCACAAAAATGATACGTACAGAACGTATACGTACACTTGACGAAGCACCACTCAGTTCCAGAACACAAGAGCAATACTGTTCAATGGAGAGCAGGGCTTGGCGGTATTTCATTACTGCTCTGTTGCTTTCAATCTTTGACTGAGGTACGTCATACAAGCGTAAATGCTCGAGACTTTCCAAACAACTGTCGTAGTTTTCTGAATGGAAATCCTGGAGAAAGAATAGGTTGAGTTTGCAACACAGACGCATAAATCAGCAGATGCTTACTTCTGTACACTGCTTCCAAAGCGCAATGACTTCGGAAGTCATTTCCCTTAAGAAATCACGGAACAACGGTATCACTAAACGAAAGCTGGACCAAACATGAACTGGCAATAAAAGAGAAGAAATACAAATATAAGCATCAATTTTGGCTGAAATCTGGAATTATTCCATTTCATTTT